CATACAGTTCTCCAATCCAGGAGGAAAGAACATCAAAAGGCAATTATGGCAGAGAGAGAACTCCAGCTTTCAGCTGTAGCAAAGAGAGATGTGGCAACTTTTCCCAACCCTAGCAGCTTCTGCTGAAAGCTAACCTAAAGATCCTGGCTCTGCCTATTCAGGCTATTTCTATTGCTCCAACTTTAAAAATAAACCAAAGCTTCAAAAGGTGTCTCCAGTGGTTTGAGTAGACTACTCGATACCTCTACTTTAAAACCTCTCTTCAAAACAAAACCACAACAAAATAACCTCTTAAAGCCACAGCACCATTACAAGGCCGAGTCTAATCCTGAGCATAAATCCATTGCTGAATCTTGTAAAAATCCACCTCATTTACTAATGTGCAGAAAATCTGCTGTTTTCACCTGGTCCGTCCTCTATATGACTCCAGACCCACAGTGATTTGATTGGCTCTTAACTGGCCTCGGAAATGGCTGAGCAAACCGCTCAGTTGTAACTACAGGCCTCAAAATCTGATAAAAGAAATAAAACCAGACAGAGGTACCTGGAAATGATCAAGATACTAGATACACAGCCTTTTGACCCTATTAAACATTTCAAAGTACAGGAACTCCAACTCTGAGCTACTCATACGGAGGCTAAGTTGGAGATATTGTTACATATTATTTCAGAAGGTGGACACACCCATTTGGATAGGGCAGCCCTATCCCACCCGTATTAGAACCAGGAGAATGTGACTTTGAATGAGGTTCAACTTAGACTGTGTGGGAGCTAGTCACCAAATTATGGAGCACAACGTGAAAGGTAATCCCTGGATAAAAACCCAAGTCACATGTCAATTGACTGAGAGTCCACAAGACTGAGGCACACATTAAAGAAAATAAATCTGATCAGACAGCTATTACATAGATGTGGCTACAGGAGAACAGGATTTCTTTCTGAACATTGAATAACATGGAAGAAGAGGAAGCTGCATAAAGGTGGAAGGGTAGCACTGTTGATCTAAGATGACATCGGTGCAATCATTAGAGTTGACCTTAGTTCAGGAGATCAGTTTGAGGTACTGGTTTAGGTAGAGTTGAAGGATAGTAGAGGAAAGAAATCGCTAGTGGGAGTGGTCTACAGACTTCCTAACAGTAACCATAATGTAAGATAAAGGATTCAAGAAGAAATATTCGATACATATGACACAGGAATTGCTATAATCATCGGGACTTTATATTTACATATAAACTAAAAAGATCATATTGGCAGTACTGGCCTAGATGGATTTGTAGAATTCTTTTGAGAAAATTTCTTAGAACAGCATGTTGTGAAACCAACCAGACAGCTGGTTATACTAGAATTATACCAGTTACACCAGAGAGCTGGTTATACTAGATGTGGTATTGAGCAAAGTAATTAATTAATTAATTAAAGGCACCCCCAGGTAGTAGTGATCACAATCTGATTGAATTTTACTTCCAGGTTGAAAAGGAGAAGAATGGGTCAAAGACTAGTATTATAAACTTAAGGAAAGGCAATGATGTGGGCACGAAACCTGAGCTAAAGTGAACTGGGATGCTAGGCTAGGAGATAGATCTATAAAGAAACAGCTGCAATTATTTAAAGGGATATTTAAGAATACTCAGAATAATGTATATTCCGACTATTAAAAAAATTCTAAAGGGACAACCCACCATCTGTGGTTAAGTGAAGTTAATGACAGCTTCAAATATACGGAAACAGTGGGACTGAGTAAAGTGATGGAGTGTGGGCTGACCATCATTCAGGTTGTGATGCACTTCATGGTAGGGTCTTAAAGGAGGTGAGGAATCAAATATTTACTTTTCCAAAATTTTGGGCTGGAAAATAGCAAACATAACCTTCATTATTCAAGAATGGAGAAAAGCAGGAGACAGGAATCAATAGGTTAATTTGGTGGGAGAAATGCCATAAGGTTCTGGCACCAACAAATTAACGCTGCTGCTGAGAACAAGATAGGGTGAGAGTGGATGCCTGGTGCACATTTAAATAAGGTGCACATTGTGAAATTGCACGGGAAAACTGGATGGAGCTTACAGAGAGAAACTGACCTTCAAACTCCACAAAATTAAAAAGAAGCCATATTTTTAAGAAAAGTCAGCTTCCTGACTCCCCAAAGCCTATCCACCAACTACAAGGCACACAATAGGAGTGTGATAGAATATGCCCCCCCTTTCAGGATGAGTGCAGCACCAACAACACTCAAGAAGCTTGACACCATCCAGGACAAAGCAGCCGCTTGATTGGCACCACATCCACAAATATCCCACTCCCTCCACCACCAACACTCAGTAGCAGCAGTGTGTACCATCTACAAGATGAACTGCAGAAATTCACCAAAGATCCTCAGATAGCACCTTCCAAACCCATAACCACTTCCATCTTGAAGGACAAGGGCAGCAGATACATGGGAACACCACCCCCTGCAAGTGCCCCGCTGAGCCACTGTCTATCCTGACTTGGAAATATATCGCCGTTCCTTTACTGTCGCTGGGTCAAAATCCTGGAATTCCCTCCCTAAGGGTATTATGGGTCAACCCACAGCACATGGGCTGCAGCAGTTCAAGAAGGCAGCTCACCACCACCTTCTCGAGGGGCAACTAGGAATGAGAATAAATGCTGGGCCCAGCCAGTGCCACCCACAAAAATTTTAAAAACTTTTAGACAAAGTTAAAAAACCGTAGAAAGAAGGACAATAAACATAATCAGTAATACAGTTTCAAACATACGGGAAGGATATCGACAGGTATATTGCAAATGATCTGGATAGGGATATGGAGTTGTTGGTTGGCTCGCCGAGCTGGCTGGTTTTCATGCAAATGTTGTTTCCGTTCTAGGTGACATTGTCAGTGCTGTGTAGCCTCCATTGAAGCACTGTTGTTCTGTCCCACTCTGAATTTATATGGTCTGGTCTGTCATGGTGGGTAGTCCTGCTTCCGGTTTTGTACTGTAGTGGTGTGTAATGGGGATATGAATGGAATTTGAATGTGGATACGGGTAGGGATGTGACTGGGAATATTACCAGGGATATGGATGATATATGAATGTGAATATGAATAAGAATAGGGATTGGATTGGGAACATGAACAGGGGTATTGCACAGGAAATGGATGGGATGTAGTTTGAGATATAGGTGGAAGTACGACCAAGTGTATGGAGGGCAGATAAATGTGGAAATAGATAGGAATATAGTTGGGATATGACTGGGAGTTTGGTTGAAATATGGACAGGGATAAGGTTTGGATGTGGGATACAGCTGGAAATATGAATTGGAAATGAGCAGGGGTCTAAACAGGGACATGGTGCAATATGGTTGCAGAAATGTAGATGAGGGCTATGGATAGGATGTGGAGAGGGATGTGGATAGGATATGGAATGAATTCCTATGGTTAATGATATTTCTTCCTGATTCCACAAAAAAGTTACACCCAGACAGTTTATTTTTGCCCGTCTGCTCTCTGCCATTGTCGTCCTCTCCAATTTAAACCCTTCTGCATGCTTTTCCGATATTGTTTGGAAATCTTTGAATGGTCTGTACACTATCTGATTACAAACAGATGTCACTCACTCAGTCAATCCGTCTCAAAAACCACCACAGGCTGCTGTAGGCCATTGGAACCTCACAGGCTGACACCAAGGGACAAGACTATTTAAGTGCAGAGTCAGGAGATTGTGTGTTCAGAGAGATATAACAGGGAATCCCTTATCCAGAGAGACAGCCATGAGAGAAGATGAGACAGAATTGAGTCAAAGATCACAAGTAAACATTAAAAAGAAATAGTTCTGGGTTCAAATTAATCTCAAGGAGCAGGAGTGAACAGTAGGTATTCAAGAGCATTGGTAAAAGTAGGAATTGTGTCCCCCCCAAGCTGAGAGTCAGCTCCTTCACGGACTGTGTCCCAGTGAGATTCAGCACCTTCAGGAACTGTATCCCAGTGAGAGTCAGCTCCTTCACAGACTGTGTCCCAGTGAGAGTCAGCACCTTCAGGAACTGTATCCCAGTGAGAGTCAGCTCCTTCAGGGACTGTATCCCAGTG